TAGATCATCTGCATGGATTTTACATTTTCTCTTTTTCTTGGTTCTCACTTTAGACAATATATAATTTATTATTTCCTCGACTTAATTTTTTTCTTACTGAGTATGGACGTTATTGCTTTTCTGAAGCTTGTATTTTTCACGCAGTTATATCAATCAAGGCTGTTACTCTTTACTTACAAATTCTGGAAGGCTATTCTAGGAATCTACACAAGTACAACCGAACTTTTTCGGATTTGTGCAAGCGCTGCCGACGAAGCAGGGCTTACAGCTGATTGGTATCAAAGTGAACCCACTGAAGAAGAGACTGATTCCATTGACAGCGATCGCTCTCCCTTGTTAAATAGAGAACTTTTGAGAGATGCTCATGTATCAGTTGATTCTGTTTATTCTGTTGGTACGGGGAACAATGAAAGCCTTGTTTTTATTTATATGTATTCTAATATAACTATCATACATTATATTAATATAGACCGATCCATTCTTTATTCGAGCAAACTAGTGGTATTGATCTTATTCTTTATACATTCTTGCCTTTCTTATCATATGCTCATAATTTTCATAATTTTTCTACTTTTTGATTGATTTCAAATATTAGATGGAGCGTCGTGCATTAGAGTCTTTAGAGTGTGATCTCGATGAAATCACTCAAACAATCCTTTATAAGAAAAATTTCCCTGAAAACGGCTCCATAAAAACGTATGTATTCTTTCTTTCTCTATAAGTCACCTAACAATTATCTAATCTGTTGTTATATTTAAGCCCTTCTGCAATTGTTTTGCATTATTGCTTGACTCAAATTCGCGCTTCCTACAATCTTGCAAATGAGATTAATGATCGTGCAACAACAAAGTTCGATTCGAATAATAAATTGCACGAGAAAAAGTTGTTGGAGGTTTGCTATCTCGTTTTCATTAACGTTTATATTATATTCAAAATTCTCAAATATTTACCCATTGATTATATTATTAAAAGTTGTCATTTTTTTTTCTATATATAATTAATTTTAGCTATGGAATCTACTAATGCCAAATGAACAATTGGAAGGTCGTTATAGCGAACAATGGACTAAAGTATATATTCTTATAGTTTGTAAATAACTAAGTAAAGATCCTGCTCTTAAAGATTTTATATTATACAACCAATAGATCGGGTTTCAGGGCAAAGATCCTGCGACAGATTTTCGTGGCATGGGTAATAATCAAAACTAATATACAGTCAGACCCCCCTAAATGCTACCCCCTAAATGCACGTCCTATGAAACACCTCCCTAAATGCACGTCTTCTCTTGGGCCCAACTAATATTATATCTATAGATTTTTACCTCTCTAAATGCAATACCTCTCTAAGTGCACGTTTGACTAAATTTTATATATGACTGCATTTAGGGAGGTCTGACTGTACTTTATGATTGCTAACTCTTAACGTGCGATTATTGACTTAAATATTTGATCCGTAATGTTCAGGGATGCTCGGCCTAGATGATTTAGTTTACTATGCTAAAAATTACCCGGAATCTGCACATGATGCGCTGGACTCTTCCCGCAATAATAGTTCATGGTCTCCCTGTTATTCAACTTTATTTAATGATTTTGATTCTTATTTATTTGATATTTAGTTCTTACTTAACATTCATAATGATGCTATAGGCGTCCATTTGCCACCGTGGGGATTAATATTACACACTTTGCTGTTCAAACTCTCCGTACCCGGCAACTTCAGTATTTTTTGTTTAAATATGGTTCTACAAAGGACATTTATCATGAATTTTACTGTAAGTAATAAATCATTTTATTATTTGCTTATTAGCATTATTATCTGATTTGTTTGATTGGCTAAAATCAATTGTTCTTGTATATTAGGTTATCTATTTCACTCCTTTAATAAATTCTGGATTTCACATGATCAATCTACAATAACTATAATGGACTTTGAGAAAATTTTTTATCAATTCAAAAAAAATATCATACAAGAATTATTAGGTCGGAAATCAATGGTATTGGATAGTTCAAAAGATATGTTTATTCACTATGAGAAAGCCAAATAAGGTACTTTGTTCAGTAAACGTTGATCTCAACTATTCTTTCATGCGACTTATTGTAAAGAGATTCTTTATCGCTTACTAATTTTAAATATTAAATCCTTTGAATGAAATTTAACAAATTATAATAATCAACTTGATTTAAATATGAATGTAATGTAATATTTAATATAATATTTAATAAGGCATAAAGAATTATATAGATCATTACATAATAGAAATTCATATAATTCATTCGATGTTAAAGCATAAATTTATGCGTGAAAATATTCAATTTCTTCATACTGTTGTACATTGACTTTTAGTATCAAGCTTGGAAATTGATATTGCAAAGTAACCTTTCTAAGTGCACTCTTTAATGCACTACCTTCCCAAATGCACAAGTTTTAGCTAAATATGTAATTGACTCCTTTAGGTGCATTTTTTCTCATTGTTCTTTATGTGCTTGTTGAAAGTTCGGGCTCTATAGGGTGCATTTTATAGGTACAGACTTATAGTCGCGGCGTAACAGACCTTTACGTCACCTGACGTAACTCAAGGACATGACGAAAGTAACAGTAATAAATTTTTTATTAAATTTGGGACAGATCGACCAAAATTAAGGGTCGGAATAGACCGGAATTGATAATTTCTCCCAAAATTTTACTAATAAAATTGCAGCCTACGTACTAAGTAAAGCTACCCAAATGATAATTTTGCTGTAGTATAGTTGCCTGGTATTATTGCTTAATGCCGGGCCTATTCCGACCTAAATTTTGGTCGATTTCCGAGTTTTGGTTGCTCCACTAACGCTAATCAACAATATCAGGATACGTCAACAGGAAATTCGATATTAATTTTTTAATTTTTTATATATTAATAAACATATAAAACAATTTTTTTGAGAACATTAAAATCAGTTTGAATTTCAAACACTGCACGTCATGCCACAATTTTGAGCACTGATTGTATCCGATACTGAAATCTTTCATAAAATAAATAACTTACACAGGTTGAAATCAAACATATCATATGAATATCAGATTATTGCTAATGTCATGACAATAACAGATGCATATCGGAAGCTAACAGGGTATTAGTGAGTTGATCAGGTATATGTATCTGAAGGTATAAGGATATGATATTTTTAACCTGTATGATGGTTTATGCTAATTTACAATTTATTTTTATAAGGTTATTAAAAGCAATTAAAAATTCAGAATCATCAAGAAATAGCGCTATTGTAGATATATCTAATTGCTTAGTTCAATATTTAAAATGAAATATATCAACAGATTTTGTAAAATTTATATTAATGTTAACTTTTTATACATAATTAATTAAAGGAATTGCTATTTCCACTCCATTTTTGCTAATGCCACCCCTAAAATTTAAAAAAGTGCTCCGGAAGAGGTATTATTATTAAGAAAACCTCCTTTTGTTATTAATAAAAGTTGTTCATCAGGCTTTTCTGTTTTAATGGTAGTAAAATCATTAAAATCGGATTGGTAAAAGTAAATGAAAGTTAACTAACTTCGGATATAAATATCTTAGGAACTACTGGTCCGAGTGTAATGATTTTACTACTATTAGAACCGGAAAGACCTGATGACCAACTTTTATTAAGACCAAAAGGAGGGTTTACTTAATAAGAATATCTATTTCGGTGCACTTTTTGATATCTGGGAGGTGGCATTTGCAAAAATGGGGTGGAAATAGCAATCCCCTTAATGAATCAACTAATTAATTAATTGAATAATCGAATTATCGATTAGTTGATGTTCAAAAAAGCTCAATTGATTAGTTGTCGACTAATCAACCAATGATTTCAACTCTATATAGTGAATATATATATATAATATTCTCTCGATATAAGCTATAATGAAGAATTTTTTTATTCCAATAACTATACTATAAAGAGTGTCACTTGTGTATTGTTGAACATGTGGTTTGAATTTACTAATTAAGAAATTTTATTCTTTGAAAACCTCAACATTACTTTTAAGCATGAATTTGTCAACTTTTCAGATCAGGAATACACAAGGTACCCACCTTTCATTCTGCTATCCAAGGTTTTAAAAAGTGTCATCCAGAAAAAAGTAAATGAAACCTGCGTGGTTAGTGATGTACCGGATCACACCAAATGGATTTAGAGTTCTATCTCAAATGATACAATAGCTGAAATGATCAATTAAGCAAAACTAATTAGCAGATTGTGAATGAATAAGCTTGGTCTAAATGCAAATTTATGAAAAATAATTTGTAGTTTTGAAATATTGTTTTTTCCTATCCCCATTAAAATATAGCAACTACGAAGTAATAAAATCTAGGAAATAATAAATTATATATTGTCTAAAGTGAGAACCAAGAAAAAGAGAAAATGTAAAATCCATGCAGATGATCTA